ATATATATATATGTATGTACATACATGTATATGTATATATATATATATGTATATGTATATATATATATATATGTATAATATGTATATGTATATATATATATATGTATATATATGTATATATATATATATATGTATATACATATACGGCGGTGGTGTTGATGTCGGTGCTTATGCAGTTCATCCTGCTTCGCGGTGCGAGATGAAGTCGGTTTGGTGCACTTCGCAATTGTGTGGAGATCTGGCTGGTGAGTCTCCGATGTTACCCTGGCTTGCATTGGGTTTGTCGGCAGGACGATTCTCCTGGCCTTTGACCAAAGCAAAGGCAACGCTCGAGGCGGGGTTGCGGCAAGAAATCGCCACGACCACAAAGAAAGCTGCAAGTAGCTTGTTGCAGTCTGAAATTGCATGCTGTCAAGCCCTGCACCGCTCCGACACGAAACCCCAAGTCCCGTCTGCAACTCTGTCTGCCAAAAACATGTGCAGGCCACAACGAGCCTCAGGAGACTTGCTGCGAGACTTCTCAACTGCGTCGACACGATTGTCAGATTCTATGTGTTCTGTTGCTGTGACAGAACCTCTAAGTACCTACGTAAATGCACTTATGCTTACAAACATGCGCACGTATATGCATGCATGCGTGCATGGATGGCAACTCCCTACCTGCCTTTGACCTCCTACCTACCGCCCTACTGATGTAGAGGTAGGCAGGCAGGTAGGCAAGTAGGTAGGCCCTACCTACCTCCCTACCTACCTCCCTACCTCCCTACCTCCGTACCTGCCTACCTACCTGCCTGCCTGCCCACCTGCCTACCTACCTCCTACCTACCTCCCTCCCCTTCCTTCCTACCTACCTGCCTCCCTGCTTACCCACCTACCTACCTACCTGCCTGCCTACCTACCTACGTACGTATTTGCTTACCTACCTGCTTACCTTCCTACCCACCTGCCTACCTAGCTACCCAGCTACGTAAGTACGTACGTACGTACAACGGACATAAGCCCGTCTATCTATCTATCTATCCATCTATCTGCCTGTCTATCTATCTGAGTCTATCTGTCTATCTATTTGTCTATCTGTTCTTCCGTCTATCTATGTATCTATCAATCTCTTTATCTATCTATCTGTCTATCTATCTATCTATCTATCTATCTATCTGACTAACTATCTATCTACCTATCCATCTATCCATCGATCCATCTGTCTATCCGTCTATCGATCGATCTATCTATCCATCCATCTGTTCATCCGTCTGTCTATCTATTTGTCTATCTATGTATCGATCGATCGATCTATCTTTCGATCTATCTATCTCTTATCTATCCTATCTATCCTATCTGTCTATCTAATCTGTTTAATCTGTCTCACCAGTCTAATGTATCTACTCTATCTATCTGTTCATCCGTCTATCTATCTGTCTATCAATCTATCCATGTACCTGCCTATCTGTCTGTCTATCTATCTATGATCTGCTAGATCTGTCAGTTCTGCCAAATCTACCTAGTTGATCTAACGTGTTTAGTCTACCAAGTCTGCCCAATCTATCTAACCTACCTAATTTAGTGTTCCACCTGCCTACCTAGACTTACCGACTAAGTTAGCTATACACTTACCTGCTAATCATCTGTCTGTCTGTCTATCTGTCTGTCCGTCTACTTGTTTATCTGTCCTCCTATCTATCTCGATCTCACGGTCTGTCTCTCTCTCTCTCTCTCCCTCCCTCCTATCTCTCCATGTTTCAATCTGTCAGACTCTCTATCTCTCTCTATCTCTCTCTCTCTCTCTCTCTCTCTCGGTCTATCTACTTATCTACCTATCTACCTCTCGACCTACTACCTATCCACCCATGTCTCTACCTCCCTCTCTCTCGCTCTCTCTTATCAATCTCTCTATCTGTCTCTCTATATTCTGTCCAGAGTGCTGTCTGTCTGTTTGTCTGTTGGTTTGCCCGTCTGTGTGCCTATCTGTCTATGAATCAGCCTATCTATCTATGTATCTATCTACGTACCGATCTATCTGTCAGTCCGTCGTCTGTGTATTCATCTATCGATCTATCTATCTATCTATCTATCTATCTATCTGCCCCTATTCCCGTACTGACCCATGCTTTTTTCCTCTGTGCCTGAAAGCATCTTCGCTGCATGCACGCGAGCTGTCACGGACATGATGATGAAAACGAGGGCTGGAGCGCATTCGCATGCTGATGTGGTTTCCACGCCGTCCTGTTGTCACACCAGTCCAGCAAGGCAGAAGGAGAGACAGAGGGATCTTTGTCAGGGGCAGTGCAAGCCTCTGTTGAGAGTGCAGCAGACACTTCTCGCCCCCGCAACAATCGGGGGCGCTGTCGCGCACTGTGGAGGGCCAGTGGAGGGCCACAACCCTCCATCATAACCCTGGCGAAAGAAGAGCAGAAAGAAACACTGACAGACAGCAGCAGAGACAAGCTGTCGCATGAGTTGGTTTTTGCCGGTGGAACTTCCGATGTGATTGAGATCCTTCACAAGGCTGCCGAGAGTTTCTCACTGGATTTTTGCCAGAGACTTCGAGCGATTTGAGCGGCACTATGGCGAGAGCAGAATTTATGAAGGCGGAGAGTCGTGTTGGATTCTGCTACAATCAATTGGGTTTTTGGGCGGATCCGGTCCGCGCAGGACTGTGGCACGCTGCTTGGGGAACATACGCAAGTCTTCATATATCTATGTCTAGTTCATGTGTGTATGTGCATATGTATGCATGCATGTATGTTATAGGTATTTGCACATGTTACATACATATATGCTTATGGTGTATACGGACATGTGTGCTGGTTTCTACAAGCGCCACTTGTTTTCTTGCATCCGCAGCCCATCCCGCATTCCAGTCTGACCCCTCAACATCGCAGGAATTTGCCCACTTCGCCGATCTCCATGCGCAGACGTTCTTCCGACGCCGGGGCGGTTTTGCTTGGAGGGTCTTCGGCATGTCGCTTCGTCGGGTCTCTATCATCCCCGGGACCCCAGGATCTGTTCGTGTACCTGCTGGGAGCTGGAGTCCATGGTTCAATGATGCGAGATCGTGTCAGGGTTTGTGATGCGCTTGCTAGGCTGTCAGTCGCCTTGCACGGATGCATTGAGGAAGCTCCAGAGCGTTTCAGCTTCAAACAACCCAAAACAAAGATGGAATGTGCTCGAAGCTTGTCCTCGAATCTGCTGGGTCTTATGCGAGCTGTTCAGGTGGCGACGAAGTCCTGCCCGGTTGCTCCAGTTACAGCCAGGCTGGCGGCAGTAGCTTGAACCGTGCCCGTGCTCCACCTCTTCTGACAGTCTGACTTGGTACTGCTCTGTTGGCCTTGAATTCTAATCCCAAGACCTGAATGGTGCTCTTTCTTTTCAGCCCCTTCGAAGCCCCGCTAACTAAAGAACTTGACTGGGTCTTTCCCGACTGCTCCGACGAGCTTCTACAAGTTAGTGCCAAATTATGACCCCGAACCCTAAGTCCTAGAGCCCTGATGGGTGGGCAAGTCCATCCTCAATGCCTTGACAGCCCCTACCAGGGAGTCCACCACCCACCTCCGCCGGAACAGCGCTTCGGCGGCGTTGGAGACGCCGCGGCCGACACCGTGCGCGTTCCCTGGCTTGCAGATGGCGCTCCGTTCCACTTCTGCGGAACTTCTGCGGGATTGAGGACTTTGGGTGTCGCGTGTGAAAAGCAGTGGTCGGAGGTTCAGACTTTCAACATCAACGAATGCTGGGTTTCTATGGGCCCACCCCCTAATTAATTAGGCCCAAAGGAGCAGTTCAGAAACTCTCCGAATCTTCCAGCCTTCCCCCCTTTCGATTTCCCCCCCCTTTCGATGTGAGCCTCAGGTTTGCTACAGAGAGTTACAAAGATGCGCAGGCCGAGAATGTCAGCGCTCCGGGAGGGGGAGGGCAACCCGAGAGTCCTTTAAAAGGCAGATATATGAATAGGGGCTAATAGGGGCCTTGTTTTAATTCCCGATGCTATTTTCGGGGTTCCTGATTAATCTTCAGTACATATATACCCCAAGCGGTCTCGAAGTCATTCGTCCGAGTGCTCACTCGACAAGCGTGCCGGTCGATCTTTACCGTCCGACCTGACCTGCGAGGCGGCTGGTTTGAGCCACTTGCGTAACACAGCACGATGCCGGAGCAAGATGGCTGGGCTCCCAGTTTGAGCAGCCCTGTGAAGAGAGAGCACCACTGCTGGTACTTCAGGAATGTGATGATGGAGACAGCAGCAGTCTGATGAAATCCGAACATGGGCAGTGCAGCCAGACACTGCAATACTTCCAACTTCCAGCCGTCACAGAGCCAGCGGATTCACAGATATACAATAAAACGCGCCGGCATATCCGCACCTTGAAGTCGGATGGTTAACCACCAAACAACGCGAAGCTTCAAAATGACAGACAAGCGGAAGTCTAAAATCTCTTGGAAACCCTTCCGGAAGCCCGAACATTTTCAAAATTCCACAGCCCCAACGCCTGAAGCCTGAGCCCTACATACGCCCTAGACTCCCTAGACCAGATGCTTCGACAAGCAGAGCTTCAGAAGCACAACGGAGCTTCTTCCAAAAGGGCCCGGGAGCCCCAAAACCAAAATGGGTGACTTGGACAGTTCAGGGTCCATAGACTTGCCTGAGGTGGTTCCGGAGCCACTCGGAGAAGTTCCACCCTGGGCAGCCGATGTGGCTCCGCAGTCGAGGAGAGAAGGGGGTCCTAAAACGGAGAGTCCGATAGGTTTAGGGTTCAGGGTTTAGGAAGGATTTGAAGCTTTCCTTTTGTGCGTTTTCAGCCTTAAGACGCCCCGCTACAGCATGTCGACTTTTTGGCCAGATTGATCAGAGCCTTGCACGGAATCATAAGCGCCGTTAAGAGAGTAAACTCATACACAAAAGCAGTAACAGCAATGATGCGAGTAATGGCAACTCTATCTTACGGCCCCAGCCTGGAAAGTTGGCAGCAACCGACATGCCGCAAATTCCAGGAGATGGAGCTGCGACAGCTCCAAGAGAGCCAATCAGAGTCAGGTGCCTCCGCCAGGATCTTCTGGCATTTGAGTCGCTAACGTGCTGAAGGGCTGTAGGCTCCCAGGGGGATAGTTACGTCCGTTGAGCTTTGTGGACTTGGGGGCCTTTCCGTGACGGTGCAGCATGAGGATGAAAGGTTTGGGCTGTGGCAAGCAGCGCCGCTGGACATCAGGTCCTTCGCGTTGAAGCGTTGCGCGATATCGGCCCATGCAAAACCAACCACGGTCTGTGGAGCCTGGCTAGACGTCGAGGAGTAGTCAGATCTGGTGGCTTGAGGCTTCTTCCCACATTCCAGATCCTATCACACTTCAGCCAAACGGGTAAAGCCACGATCCAGCTCCAGTGTAGGTGCTGGCCTCCCCCACGTCCTCCGTGGCATCAACGCGAACACCGAGCCCTGGGATGCCGCAGGCGTGTCTTCAGGGTTCTATCTTTGACGTGCTATGCGCTGGTTGCTGCTTTCAGGATGTCCACAGCAGTTCTGTGGTTTGTGCTAAGCTGCTCGACAAGGTTGAAAGCAAGTAGGTTTCAGAGACATCCACAACTGAGAGGCTGTTGGGCCTGTGGCGATGTGGGCTCTGTCCTCAGTCGCCGAGCCAGGAGTTCAGGGATCTGGCCATGTCCAGGGCGCTGCCATAGCTTCAGCGCCATTGTTTTCACTGCTGTCGTTCGAAGCCGGAGAGGCCGAACGTGTTCGACGAGCAGAGCAAGCGATGCTCCAGAAAGACTTAACCATTGAATGCCTGCAGGCAGGCCCGGTTTTGAGATTTTTCGTCGGATCTGCCACGATGCCCCCGTTGCCGGTTCATGTGCTTCAAGATCCACGACTCTACTCGTACCATTAAGTCAGCCCTCATTGCCACTGAGCCCCAAAACTAAAGAACACCACAGGAGCGTGTCCGGCAGCTGGAGCAGAGCACCCAGAGATGTAGCCAGAGTCGGCACCTGAGAGCGCACGTCTGTCGAATTTGGGGGCAATAGTTGGAGGCTTGGGCAATGTGTGATAATGTAGGAACCTGATTAAGAAACCCTGGCCTTATACCCCCAATATATTAGGGTTCATATTAAGAACCCTAATGAAGGCCCAGGGTTTCTTAATCAGGTTCGTATATTATTCTGCGGCTTCATAAGACAAAGTTTTGCTTTTCCGACCTGAGCCTGGGGAGTCCGGTCGAATCCTGTAGCGATGTGAACCCCCCGATCCTACCTCGGTTTCGAAAGGCAGCAGCACAAGCAGCTCTCTCACATCCATCCGAGGCCAGGGTTGCGAGGGCCATTTACGGGTACCGAAATGCGAGGTACATAAGTCCAGCCGAAAGGCCGGTGTGAGGAATCCAGGTGTCCAGCATCCAGGGCCATCGAGTTTGTGATCATGCGACAGTCCACAGTCGATCACAATCATGTAGACTGCAGAAGCCGGAAGTTAGCCCGTGAATTAGACGGAACCCAGCTGCTGGATTGTGTACGAGCTCCGCAGGACAGATGCCATATCAGGGAGACGATGAAGCTTCAGATGCAGGCCTCTTGCAATGTCAACTGCACCACTCCTCTCCTCCGTACAACCAAACCGTAGCGGCCATGCTGTCGGGATCTCGTCCTCGCTGTCGTGGTGGTGGTCGTTGTCGTCGCTGTCGTAGGCTCGGTCGTCGCCGTCGGCCTTGCCGTCGCCGAAACAGCAATCGTAGCAGTCGGTGCAAGTAGTACCAGGCTCACTCTCTGTCTCTTTCTCTGATTCCCTTTCCCTGTCATTTATGCATCCGTGTTTGCTTGCTTGTGCATGCGTGTAACTAGGAAAGACCAACTGCATCTCGCAGGAAGCTTGAATGCCGAGATGGACGCAGCCGTCGCCAAGAGCAGCTCCGCCCGTAAGTATTGCAGATGACGCTTTCTGGGTTCGAACCTGTGAGGGGGATCCACCCTAGTGGTACTTGGGTCATCTTCACTACCTCTGTCGGTGCAGTATCTAAGGCGAAGCACTGCTCCGGAGGATGCCTGAGCCCCATCCGAAAGTGTATCGGGCAAAGTGAAGGGTTGGTATTTAGCCTTTCGGGGTTCAGGCTTTTGACTTGAGAAGTTCGGTGAAAGAGTCCCTGTGCCGGCCACTTGACCCTCGTGTCTGCAATCCTAGCCTGGCCGTGGCAGTCGCAGCCGAAGCGGTACCCGTAGTAGTCTCAGGCGTCGTCATCGTAGAAGTAGTCGGCGGAGGAGCAGTGGTCGTAGCAGTAAGCATGCATAGTGAGTGTTAGTGACTGGCAGATAGCGGCAGAATTGGGACTGGCAGTCGTGTTCGCTAACACAGCAGCAGGAGAGTGGCAGTAGTCCCAGTAGCTGGGGGAGGAGGAGCTGTGTTGCTGCCAGTGGTCGCAGTAGTCGAGGATTGCAGTGGAAGCTGCGATAGCAGGGAGCAGCAGGGAGCAGCAGGGAGCAGCAGCAGCAGCAGCAGCAGCAGCAGCTGCTGTTGCTGTTATCCGTGCATTGAAACCTGTTCTTCCTTTCAGCATGTACCTTTCAGGTGTGTTGAAGCCGACGTCATGTCTTAGTCCGAAGATTTGCTTGAAACAGGTCGGCACTCGACTACTCGGCAGAACCAGAGTTGCAGTGGGCGGCGATGATGGCAGCAAATGAGGAGAGCAAGGACTGACACAGCTTCGCATGGTTTGGGGAGACATTCTGCGGGAGCATGGAGTGGACAGCTCAAGGCTTGGGTTTGAATCGCTGCCGGACATGTACCCTTGGAGGTCTTAGTGACCAAGGTGTGCCCCATGAGTGCACATACTGTTATTTCTGTCGGTCTGACGTCCTGCTGACAATTTTGATTGTCTAGTCTGCAGTCTGATTGTTTCCAGGCCTGGAAGCTCGAAGCAGCCGCAAACTCGTCAGGAGAAGCTGTCGCAGATTGAGCAGCTGGTTCAGCGCCGGATTGCCCTCAACTCGGGTACAGACGCACCGCTCATGCACCATGACCCTCAAGAGAAACCACCACAAAGAACTTGCTGCTAATCTTTGCACACTCTATTCTTCCTGGCACGGCTGTTCAGATTAAGCACCAATTATTCTTCCGTCACTGGCTGCTGTGGGTACACAAGCCAAGATCATGCGGCATGTCAGCCTTGAGCATGGGCCAGCCGTGCCCAGGAGCAGCTGAAACCAGGGGATCGTGAGCTGAAGATTTGTCGGGCTGTGCGCAACCGACTTCCTTGCTGTCAGCATCCGGAAGGGCCGCTATCAATCGTAGAGCACATATCGTCACGGTGGCACTGTTTTTAGGACGACGCGAGTGACACCCCGCCGCTTGGTCAGGTACGTGGCATCTGCGTTTCGTCCCAAAGATCCGTGCATGGTGCTGAGACGTCGTTTGACTGCCGTTCTGATGCTGCACGACCCATGTCTGCTTGATCGACGGAGTCATGCAATGTTCGCTGCCCACAGATTTGTCTCCAACCTTCATTCTCACAACTTGCCTGAGCGGGCCTGGTTCCTGCGCTCTCGTACACCACATACCAGCTTGGCAGGCCCAGGAAGTGGGGCCGCAGCCGCTGATTCCAGGCTTTGTCACTGATTTTTGTAGGATGGGAACCTAGGGCTGGTTGTGTGTTAAGCATGTCCTATCAATCGATGAACGATTCGGTGGCTAGTAAAAAAGTGCTGAGGGCAAAGTGGGTGGTCCGCACGACCGCTTTTTGCTTACAGAGATTGCAATTTACATCTGCCTCGGAGAGGCTGTTGCCTCGGAGAGGCTGTTGCAGCGAAGTGGTGTCTGGGCTGCTTGTATGGCCTACACTTCCATACCTGATGGAAGTGTGGCCGGATGCAGCGGGTCTTGTGCTGGCCCATAGGATGTCATACGAAAGCCGAATGACAGTACCTGACAAAACAGAGTCTACGAAGAGCTGCAAAGCAAAGCGGCACAGACGCCTTTACCACCTGCTTCTGTTGTCTACTTCGCGTGGAATCGAGGTTTGCATGGTGCACTTGGAGCAAACTGCCCCTTCCGGATACCCTGGGCGGGGTTGTCATCCTGTCATTCAGCAGGCAGGCATGCAGCAAAAAAGAGCAGTCGAGTCTAGTGCCGCCCCGAAGTGCCAACCATGCCCCACGTGTTTCGACCCGTGAAACACGCAGGCCATCAGCCATTGAAATTGGATTCCGCGGAGAAGAGATTGCACACGACGTGATGATGTTTTTAGACATCTTCACATATGATACATGCAAACCCCAGTCACCTCGCCGTTGGTTCCATGTGCAAGGTGTCAATTGGAAGTCGCCTTAGATTCGGGGACCGAGGATTGAAGACTTGGTATGTAAAGATAGGATGCATGGGAGCTATGCCAGCCCAAGGGCAACAGTAGCGAGGTATTTCCCCGAGATACCAGAAAACTGTCCTAGTGGCATGTTGCAACGGTCAGATGACAGAGGGTTTATCAAGACAGCAGCCATGGTTCTTGACGATCCTGGTGGTGCTTCTGGAGTGGGCCATAATAGCTCTTCTCGACCGTGTCCAGACCCCCATGATCTAAAGTTCTAAAGCTGCTTGACCAAGAAGCCTTGAACATCAGCTAAACGGCCTAGACACCCAGACTACATCATAGAACCCTTGCATATAGTATTAGTAGCCCTTGTTGTAGTAATCCCTTGTAGTAAGCCTGTTTGTCACTCCCTTTGGGACCTTTCAAGCTGAAAAACGAGCCCCTAAAGCCAAAACTCTAAACCCGAAGCCCTAAACCCTCTTTCAACTTAGAAGTTCCGAACTGCAATAGGCGGGCGGAAAAAAAGCGTGCAACAAAAAAACACATAACTTAAACAGCGCCCGAAGCCCAAAACTCTCCGAAGCGCCGCGGTATTTCTGCTGCTTCCTTAGAGACTTCGGAGGCCTGGCGGCTTTTTCCCGGGATGCTTGCACTTCTGGGTTCTTCGGGGTTTTAGGTTTTAGGGTTTTGGGTTTAGGGTTTAGGTTTCAGGGCCACTATGGATCACTATATGGGTGCAAGATTGTTTTGAAGGCAAGCCCTGGATCGGAAACGTTTCCGATCAGCCAAGCCAGAGCCCATCTGATGCGAGCTTGACCCGGAGCTTCTGTTTCCATCTTTTGAGAGGACAAGGTGCTGCATTCAAGCAGAGGGGGTGGGGGGGGTGGGGCTTCAAGGAGCACGTCTAGAATCTTTTAGGCGCCAGCAGCTGCAGGATTGCGGTAAGATATCTGGTGCTCACACAGTGCATGGACGGCGACGGACCGCAGTGAACTGAGATTGAACTGTGATGTAGGATATGTGAGGCGTGGGATCTCGCCAATCCCGCCGCCGAAGCACCACGTGTGTGTTCGTGTTGTGGCTCGAACGTGACACCTGCTTTTTAGTTTCTGCGTAGGCATCTATAGGGAAGCATCAGCCAATTTTCGATATGAAGTCCTTGAAGCACTGTTCCACTGCAGTCATGCAAACTGCAAGATCAAGCCTGTCGTGCTTTGCGCTGCGTCCCTGGTTGCATCCTACCACCCACAAGGCAAGTGTGTAGGCTGATCCCGAGCCGATGACGGCAATCGCAAGAAAGCTGAATCAACATAAACTTAACTTGCACACAGCCCGTGACCGCTTGGCCAACCCCGAAGCCGCACCCTACGACCCTGAAGCATCGACCCAAACCTCAGACCTTTCAACTCTTTAACATCGGGTGGCTGTGATCCAGCTTCGCTTTCGCGATGAGCTTCACGCCACCGGAGGTGCCTTGAAGGGGTGCTTGGAAGGTGCCTCTGAGGAATACGGGAACTCCCAGTTCCTGAGGTAGCATTGGGGCATTAGGGCTGTCCTTGCCAGACGCCAGTGAGGGCATGTTTGAGGGCTGCGAGACTGAAAGAACCGCAACTACACGAGGTGTCGAAGGACACGGCTTCGAGTACGGCTGCCGGGACAGGCCCGACATGAGTCATGCACGGACCCACCCACCCGCCTGTTTGTCATGGCACCATTACTTTCTGAGACTCTGTGGTATCTGCTCTTTGAGTTTCAGATATCGGAATGAGCCAACACTGCGCTCCGATGTGTAGCATTCGTGGTCGCATAACTGCAGGCCTTTCAACAGAGCGAGAGGGAACCATGCATGATCACACACACAGAGGTCAGAACACCCCCACCGGAGCTGCGAGCACGCGATCGGATGCCAAAGAACCAGCGAGGCCTGGTAGCTGACGAAAACTCATAGGATTCGGGCTTTGCACTTCAGGGTTTACAATCAGCAAATTCGTAACGACCCAGCCGTGAGGATTTTCTGTGTTGTGGTCGGGGGATAAAAGTTGCATTGTTCGTTGAAAGATTCTGTGAACAGGGGTCAGGCAGCTCAAGTTTGCGACCATTGCTATAGGTGATCATTCTCAAGATTAGAAGCCACGCCGGGCCGTGCAATGAGGCTTCGTGTGCTGCCGCTACTTAGCAAGGGACCATGTTTTCCTCGACACTTACTCCGGCACAACCCGTCAAGTCATCACTGAGCCGCCTCACGGCATGGAAGCATGAAGCCAGGCATCTGAAACTGCAGCCGTTCAGGGAGATCACCGGCAAGTTCTAGGGATCGAACGAGTTAGGGCAGATGCCGGCATGCCTCCCGCCAATGATCAGGTTCGGCATCACTCATCCGATTACCACGCAAGCGCCAGTCTCAGTCATTGCGAGTTTGTGCATGGAGGCTGAGGGCTTCACACAATGAGAGGTGTTTTCTGGCACTCCGTGTTGCATGCAATATCAACCTTGCTTTTGTGTGGTCCACTGTAGTTGCGCTCCCATCCGGCTAGGATCCCGGGCAAGCATCTCTCCTTTGCAAGGAGGCCACGGAGGCAGAGGTGCTGGCCAGTGAGATGCTGAAGCAGGCCGGCTCTTCATCAAGATGGAATCAGCATTGAGCTCACGGGCAGCAGCAGAGAAACAGATAACAGATGGAGAAGAAGAGCATTTTGAAGAAGCAGCAGCAACTGCAGCAGCTGATGATGCTGATGATGTCAGCGATGCGTGCATCTAGTATCGTGGTATCGGGAAGTACAGCTGGAAGCCGGCAACAACTACATGCTTGCCTGCCCTGCCACGGCAACGCTGCGACCACAAAGACAAAGACTAAAGTTCAGCGACGATCGTCGATGGTGGCGATGACTTGGTGGGGGATGGTGGTGATGATGATGGCGGTGAATAAGCAATCGGAAGAAGAAGGGTCAAACACAGCTGCCTGCAGCCTTGCCTTTCCTTCCCATCTCGCTAGGAACTCGAGATCGACTTCCCAAGGGAGACTGCACAGGGCCTTGCGAAGCGCGAGGAGGTGCTCCAGGACAGCCAGTTCCTTGATCCTTGAACCATGACCAGCAGGAAGTAGCAGTAGCAGCAGACAACGACGACACGAACAGCAGCGACGACGACGATGTCGACGACGGCGACGACGACGATAGCGACAACCACAGCCACAACCACAGCCACAACCGCAACCGCAACCGCAACGGCAACCTAGTCCTAGTAGTAGTAGTAGTAGTAGTCGTCGTCGTCGTCGTCGTCGTCGTCGTAGTAGTAGCAGCAGCAGCAGCAGCAGCAGCGGTAGCAGCGGTAGCAGCGGTAGCAGCGGTAGCAGCGGTAGCAGCTGGTGGTAGCGGTAGCGGTGGTGGTGGTGGTGGTGGTGGTGGTGGTGGTGGTGGCGGTGGTGATGGTGGTGGTGGTGGTAGTGGTGGTAGTTGTAGCGCTAGCGGTGGCGGCAGCGGTAGGGGTAGGGACATCGGCAGTGACGCTTGTAGTGGTGGCAGTGGTGGTGGTGGTGGTGGTGGTGGTGGTAGTACTCGTAGTAGTAGTAGGAGCCGGAGTAGGAGTTTCGGAGTAGTAGTAGGAGCAGAAGGAGGAGGAGTAGGATTAGAAGGCGGAGGACCACTCCGACTGGAGCCTTTGCAGGAGCTTCAGCACATCATCTCCGAGTGGATATCGGAGGAGGGTCGTGCACAAGGCCGTTTTTGCTGGCTCGATGAGTTTTTTCCTTCGAAATAGTGGGATGCTGATTGTAAGGACCCCAGGCCAAAATGAGTTGCCCCGTAGTTTTTGTTGAAGATAGGAGACTCGACTGCATTTCGCAATACTACGGTCTTGTGCACTATAGCGAGCCGTGCCATGCAAAAATAGCCTATATAACAGTATCGACATGCTGGGTTATTTTACAAGGAGAACAAGGAGAATAACACACGCTCATGATGGAGGCCGTTTGACGTAAAGCTTAGAACGACGACAGAGCAGGGTAGGCAGCCGGGCCAGTGCAGCTCTGCATCTGACGCCATGCTGCGCACACTTGGTTAAAAAGTTGCGGATTAGAAAATCTGGGTTTACATGGGGGCGCTTCGCTATTTGGCAGTTTGGCATCAGGGTGCGCTGACATCTCCGGAAGGTGTTGAAGCCAGCATGTCGGCGAAGATCGTGACAGTGGGCTCCTACAGGTGGCGTCCATCAGGAAGTCCAACATCAAACAGGTTGTAAGCAGCTATTGCCAATGCTTTCTTGTAGCCCATCAGTTGTGCTAAAATTGGCCAGCCTCCAGGCTTGGCGTGGTGCAGCCTGGCAGCGACATAGACACCCTTTGCATCGCCCCGCCTCATGTGACGCGGGAGGCAGAGCGGCTGCACAACATCGCACCACAAGCCGTACTAGAGACTAGAGAGCAACGAGCGTTAGGATCCACTCGAAACGCCTTAGCCCCTGCCGGCCAGAGCTTTCGCAAGCTTCGAGTTCGGAAGGCCCCCGTGTCCCTTGAGCCAAGTTGTTGGCTCCTTGTTCGAGCCAGGCCTTCTTCACTGTCTTCCTGAAGAAGCTGGAGCAGAATCCACATGTGTCGGACCGGGGGTTCTGCTCTACTCTGCTTAAGGAGCGCAGTGATTCCACACTTTTTCGAAGATCTGTTGCAGTCCCAAGTATGCTGAAGCAAAGCCATACTGAAAGAACGACTTCCTGGGCAGCTGCTTGCTCATAGAAGAAGCCAAAACTGGTCTGAAGCCGCACCCGCACTGAACAGGACTGCGTCCCCATTCCGGGCGCGCTGGTTGCCCAGAACACGTTCTTGCCGTTCCGGTCGTGGAAGTCTGCACGAAGTCAGTACATCCGTACGCAGAGTTGAGGTACACTCCGATCATCAAGCTGAAGCTTAGGGGTGCCAGGGCCACAGGAAGACGCGAGTAGAAGCAGTCACTCTTGCAGTAGGATGTTGCACAACGACGTTGTAGTCTGTCACCGAGAGTGTCATAATCAGGATCGCAGTATTGTAGGTCGTGTTCTGTTGGGATGCTTACAGTAGATTTCGTTGGATGTATCTTTAAAAGCCGAATTTTGCGCTGTCTCATCGTGCTTCGACATTTCAGGTCAGCATTGATCTGCTGTTCGCTCGCTTGGTGAGGCAGGTCCGGGCTTGTCGCGGCTGCCCCCTCCTGACAAGGTAAAAGAATGAGTATGAATATAGATGCCCTACTCTCCTGTGGTCGAAGTTGTTGTTCTGTCTCCTTGAGTTTTAATCTGGCAGATGCTGGAAGGTCCCTGGATGATGGGAAAGATCTGGAGGAAGCAGTGAAAGCTGTGAGCTAAGCTTGCATGCGTATACCGAACGCCGGTCTCCGATCTTGAAGCTAGTTAACGACTTGCAGATAAGCCTCGCAAGCAGCGAGTGTGACGTGCAAATGAGTACGTCCACATTTGCATCATTTGCCTTGAAACGGGTTCTTAGGATGACGAAGTGCTGCGGGATATGGATGACAAGAGTGCTTGAGCCCGAGTTGCTTCGCAGTGGATTTCTGCCGCTGCTTATCTCAGCCCGCTCCTCTCCTTGCGCTTCAGACTAAACCCCTAAACCCTAAACCCCTAAACCCCGAAACCCTAAACCCAGCTGTCAGGTCCGGTGCATCAACGGCTACCGAGTCGCCGCCCGCGGCCCAGAACCTCGAAGCGCTGCCACGGAGACTTTCTGGGGATTCAAAAATGCTTCTCTGATATAGGGGCCTGAATAATTAGAATAGGGTTTTGGGACCCATGATACTAGAGTTTTAATAACGGGCCTCCAAAATAGTAGAGGTAATTATTAATTAAGGCCCCTACATAAGACCCTCCTAGATTTCTGCAGCCGCTGAGGATAGGATCTTGCAGCTGGTGCCGAACCAGGATGCCTTTCGAGAGACGCTTCGCTTCGTCTTGGGCTCAGGGCTCTGCCGGCCCATCTGTTCCGGTGTCGAGATGCATCCATCACAGACTGAATTGCACTGAACAGCTGGAACATCAGCTTCCCATCAAAGCTTGGAGCACTAATCCCATGAAGGCATGTGCACCGCACGCATGCTCCGTCCTGAGGTCAAGTGTTGGGCCAAGAGGCCTGAAGTTCAGGGGTCTGGCGCGTTTACAGGCTTCAAGGTCTCGTTGAGAGCTACTTCAAGTCCTGAGTTTTGTGCTCGACGAGACCCGGTGCGGGATCGGTATTGCGGACTCAGACTCGCAAGACCGAGCGCATATAGTAAGGCACACGGTGCAACGGCCATCTTGGGCTGCAAGCGGAGCTGTAGCAGTTCTCTGCCTACAGACCAACAAGACGAATAGAACTGAAGAGTTGTCTCTCGGCTCGTAGGCGAGGTATATACTCCAACGCCAGGAGCCTGGGTGTGTACATCTAATGTGAGCGCAGAACAGCGGCAGACACGAACAATTCTCCGGCACTGAGACTGAGGTTTTGGGCTTTTTTGGTGGCATTACCTGGGCATTGTTGGTAGCCCGGGTTTGTCAGGCACTCAGGTACCACATGGATGTACGGACTTGACTATACCAACGAAACTCGCATGCGTGCACGGGTGCACACACAAAACACTCTGACTGGGTACGCGTAGCACATAATCAAATTCAAAATTAAGCTAAATATAAAAGGAGCACATATACATACACACATACATGCA